CATCACCATCATCATCACCATCCTCACCATCATCATCCTCACCATCATCATCCTCACCATCATCATCCTCACCATCATCACCATCACCACCATCACCATCATCACCATCCTCACCATCAGCATCCTCACCATCATCACCATCATCATCTTCACCATCACCATCATCACCATCACCATCACCATGACTATCATAATCCCTATTATCATAAACACCATCATCACCATCATCATCATCACTGTCACCATCACCATCATCACCATTATCACCATCACCATCACCATCATCATCACCACCATCACGACCATCATCACCATCATCATCACCACCACCATCATCACCACCATCATCACCATCATCATCATAACCACCATCATCACCATCATCACCATCACCATCATCATTATCATCACCATCACCATCATCACCATGACTATCATAATCCCTATTATCATAAACACCATCATCACCATCATCATCATTACTATCATCGTGTCATCATAATCACCATCATTATCATCACTGTCATGTACTTTCTTCTCTGCCCCCATCATACCCTCTTCCCACCACCTCTACTTGTTAGAATCCCCTTCATCCATCAGCTCAGATCACCTCCAAACCAGAAGGAACATTTCCCCTCCCCTGTGCAGGTTACCTGCCCTTTGGAGCTCCATTCTGCCTGTATGATTGTACAAGGATCTGATGGNCATCACCATCATCATCATCACCATCCTCACCATCATCACCATCATCATCACCATCATCACCATCATCATCACCATCCTCACCATCATCATCCTCACCATCATCATCCTCACCATCATCACCATCATCATCACCATCATCACCATCATCATCACCATCCTCACCATCATCATCCTCACCATCATCACCATCACCACCATCACCATCCTCATCCTCACCATCATCACCATCATCTTCACCATCACCATCATCACCATCACCATGACTATCATAATCCCTATTATCATAAACACCATCATCACCATCATCATCATCACTGTCACCATCACCATCATCACCATTATCACCATCACCATCATCACCATCATCATCACCACCATCACGACCATCATCACCATCATCATCACCACCACCATCATCACCACCATCATCACCATCACCATCATCACCACCATCATCACCATGACTATCATAATCCCTATTATCATAAACACCATCATCACCATGACTATCATAATCCCTATTATCATAAACACCATCATCACCATCATCATCATTACTATCATCGTGTCATCATAATCACCATCATTATCATCACTGTCATGTACTTTCTTCTCTGCCCCCATCATACCCTCTTCCCACCACCTCTACTTGTTAGAATCCGCTTCATCCATCAGCTCAGATCACCTCCAAACCAGAAGGAACATTTCCCCTCCCCTGTGCAGGTTACCTGCCCTTTGGAGCTCCATTCTGCCTGTATGATTGTACAAGGATCTGATGGCACTGCACACCACAGGAAATGGCAGCATTATTATCCCACAGCGTGTGAGCTATCCACCTCTTCCATGACCTCTCAGATTCCACCTTTAATTGCTCATCTGCAGCCCAGGAATCTGTGAGCTCCTTCAGGGTCAGGTAAGGTCTGATCTCTCCTGCCCCTTGACAATGAGCTGCAGAGGCCCTTGGGGAATGGTTTGAGGCTTGTTTGCTTCTGAGCTACAAAATGATCTGATGGTGACCGGGTGCCTGTGGAGGCTCAGGGGCCAACCACAGACAGAGAGGTTCAGGAGGCTGGGAGATGCCTCCAGAGGAAACCAAGTCAGTCCCCATGCCCCACAGCAGTTAATGTGCTTCCTGGCAGGGATAAAACAGGGAGGCCTTGGACAGGCACAACAAACGCTGTGGAGGCTCAGGGGCCAACCACAGACAGAGAGGTTCAGGAGGCTGGGAGATGCCTCCAGGGGAAACCAAGTCAGTCCCCATGCCCCACAGCAGTTAATGTGCTTCCTGGCAGGGATAAAACAGGGAGGCCTTGGACAGGCACAACAAACGTTCAAAAGGAACAAAAAGACATCTGTGCCAAACTGGTGAAATCAGGCTCCGGTGAGGACTCCTGAGGTCTAATAAGGAAAGCCCATATATGGCAACAGGCCAGGGTGTGGTGGTGCGGCTAGGATTGGAGCCAACATCATCCCTCACCATCATGGTGCCTTGCCCACTGCCCGCCATGCAAAGTGTACACCCTCCAACCACGTGGCCGCAGCCCCCAGGACAGGGTCAGGATGCCATGTCTGTGTGTAGTGGGGGGCGGGGCTCACACACACCACTAGAGCCTCTCAAGCAGGCAATTCATTCACATTTATTAATCACCTACCACACCCTGGTGATATCAGCAACAAGACAGGGCTGCCAGCATTAAGCAATTCATAGTGTGCCCACCAAATCTCAGTGTGCCCACCAAATCTCATGCATCTATGTGTCACAGTCCAAATGTGCCCTCCTCAGGAAAACCCCCACCCATTTCCTGCAGACTTCACAGACTAGAGGCACGGCAGGGTTGCACAGCTCGGAGGAAGCCAAAACTACCACCTCAGTTTCCTGAGATTTTGCATTCATCTTTCTACTGTTAAACATTTTAGCAGTAGCTGACTGATAGCCAATGAGTGCATACAGCATTTACAAAGCGAACAGTCTAAAGGGGCTATTTCCCTTCTGGCCGAAGAGATCAGGGGGGAGGTGACCCGGGCTAAAGGGAGACGGCCCCTCTGAAGAGCCAGTTAGGATCCCCTGCGTGTGAGGTCCCCCCAGCTGACCTTCGTGGATGTGGCCAAAGACATGCAGCCGCGGCTGGACGCGCCTTTGCACCGTGTTGAGCAGTTCCACGCAGCCCACCCGCTGCATCTTCTTGGGGACCCAGTCCAGGAAGCCTGTGTTGGGGAGATAACAGGGGGGCAATGACGGGGTCAGGGGGGTCAGCCCTCCACCTCTCACAGCCCAGGCAGCAGCTTCTGCAGCCTTGGAGAGACTCAGGGGTCCTGGACTCATGGGCCTGGGTGCAGCTTCCCCACCTCCTGGAGCAAGCTCTCGGAAACCCTGCCCTGCACAGCCTCAGGGATGGACCGAGATCTGCCCCCTCACCTGTGCCTCTATCGGGCTGCACCAGGGCCTCCACGTACGAGCCTCACCTTGGCCACATACTCGGGGCAGGGACCCAATAACCGTTAGTGCCCCCAGACCATTCACACTTGGCGGGGCATCCACCCACTGCAGAGATAAGCAAACCAAGGCCCGAGGGGAGCTCCCAGCACACAGCCTGGGAGCAAGATCTCCACGTCGGAAACTTTCTATACAAATGCCATGGAATCATGCACGTGAACTTCTGCAGTCACTGCAGCACGCTCACGTGGCCGCCGCCGTGTCTGCTCTGCTGCCAGCTCCCGGAGCGAGCTGCATATGGTGGCTGCTTATTATCCTCACATGGCTACACAGACGCAGAACAACAGATCACTCTGAGTGAACAGTGAGGGCTCATCTCGGCCCTCTCCGCTTGGGTGGGAGAAACAGGTCTCTGCAGCCGCCGGGAAGAGGATGGGGGACCTCGGACGCAAAGAACCAGGCAGGCTGCAACAGATGCTGATTTGAAAACAGGAGAGAGAGACAGGGACAGAGAGAGACGAGGGATGAGGAGGAGGGGAAAGCAGAGAAGAGAGGCGGGAAGTGGGCGGGCAATGGGCTTGGAACAGACACCTGGGTTTAAGTCCCAGGCTCTGCTGCCTGCTGGCTGTGTGACCTTGGACAAGTTACTTAACCTCTCTGTGCCTCCATTTCCTCCAAGAGCTAGAGGCGCTGGGCTGGGCACTGGGATCCCACCATGCATAAGGCTGGCACACCCAGGCACGCCTGAAGCAGGAGCCGCGTGCTGCACGCGTAGTGGCTGGGGTGGGCGTCCAGAGAGAAGGAAGCCAAATGATACTAGGTTCGGAGGGATGGAGAGATGGATGGACGGAAGGGAGGAGGGAAGGAAAGGGGAGAAAAGAGGGAAGGACAGCAGGAGGGAGGGAGGAGGGATATAAGGCAGGAAGAGAGGGAGCAAGGGAGGGTGGTGGGGAGGGAGCGCGGCAGAAAAGCCTCCTGTATGTGACCAGTGACGTGGAATGTTGAAGGGAACTTGTCCAGTGGTCTGGAGGCTTTGGCTGGGATGACACAGCATGGTCACAATCTCGCTGTGCTGCCTGCATGCGGCAGAGCCCTGGTCCTGCAGCGTCCCACAGCAAAACCTTCCTTTTGTGGACTCTGTGGGGAGGGGTGCCCGAGGGCATGGGCTGGGTGGTGGCACACAGTAGGTGGGCAGGACTTTCCTCCTGAGCAGGTGTGTGAGCCTGTGGCTCTCAAGCTGGTCTGGGCCTCTGGGATGCCCTGTCCTCCCTGCTCCCTTCCTCCCCCAGATGGACTCTGATGTCACCTGCTCTGTAAGCCTCCCTCCAAGTTTCCCTCACCCTGAACATGGCCCTCTGGGCTTGGCCATTCCTGAACCCTCTACCCTGCAGCGTGTGAGCCCCTCCAGGCAAGCACCATGTGGGGTTAACCCCTGGTCCAGCATCGCCCGGCACAAGGGCCAGCCCCAAGCCCTGCAGGAGCCATGGTGGATTTGGTGGAGGTGGCGGTGGGAGCAAGAGGCTGGTCTGGGTCAGACTGCCAGGAGTTTTAAGTTCATGGTGAGGAACGAGGGAGCCATGGAAGGTTGTAGAGGGGTGACACGGCATATATGATGGCACGCTGAATTCCCTCCTAATGACATGAGGGGAGTGGACTGGAAGAGACAAGACTCAGGGTTGGGGGACCAGTGAGAGGCCACAGTGGTCACTGGAGAAGACATGGGCCTGGGCTAAGGTGGGGTCAGCAGTGGCGGAGAGAAGAGGGAGGAGCTGGGAGTCAGTCTGGAGGTAGAACTGAAGAAACAGGCTGGTGGCAGGACGTGGGTGTGAGGAGGGGGAGGGGAGAACTGAGAAAGCCCCGGACGATGGCCAGTGGGGGGCGGGAAGTGGTCAGCAGGCACGTGATGACCTCAGCTGGACCGGGGGAGGGTTGGGGGCGGACAGGAGACCTTGGGAGGTGGATCCACAGGCCCTGGGCCTGTTAGGATGGGAGGCTGAGGGAGCAGGACCCCCAGGTTTCTGACAGGGTGAGGGGTGCCCCGATGGTGCCCTGTGACAGGGTCCTGGTGGTATTCAGCACTAGGACTCAGGGCTGGAGAGTCAAGGGCCTGAGATCCAGTTGTGCCGCGTGTCACATGGGCAGATGATTCTGACCTCCCCGTGCTATTGTGAGGAGTCCAGAAGGAACGAGGCAAGCCCCAAGCACACAGTAGGTGCTCAGGAAATAAGGGAGCCACGGGCGACTTGTCACCAATGCCCCGGCAAGTTGGACTCAGAATAGAGCCTAGTCCAGAAGGAACGAGGCAAGCCCCAAGCACACAGTAGGTGCTCAGGAAATAAGGGAGCCATGGGCGACTTGTCACCAATGCCCCGGCAAGTTGGACTCAGAACAGAGCCCGTCAAGGGCCTGAGATCCAGTTGTGCCGCGTGTCACATGGGCAGATGATTCTGACCTCCCCGTGCTATTGTGAGGAGTCCAGAAGGAACGAGGCAAGCCCCAAGCACACAGTAGGTGCTCAGGAAATAAGGGAGCCATGGGCGACTTGTCACCAATGCCCCGGCAAGTTGGACTCAGAACAGAGCCCGTCCAGGGCTCCCTCGACGGCCAGGCTGAGCTCAGTTCGCTGGCCCGGCCAGCCCCCGCCCCCACACCCACGCCCCAGCCCAGGCCGGCCAGCCCAGGCGGCGACAGAAGATTCTTACCCAGTGGCGGTCCGTGCGTTATCAGGATGTCTACGCCTTCGGGAATGAGGTTCCATTTCTCAAGCAGGGCTTGGCCTCGAGGGAGGTTAAAACCCCAGCCATAAAACCAGGGCTGCCTACGGGAGAAGAGCAGCAGCTCAGTGTGGGGCGACCACAGGGCAGGGGAGGCGGACCAGCTCGGCACCTGGACACTCAACCCAGGACTTGGACCAGGACACTGACCAGCTGGTGGGCTGTGGAGTCACCAGGTAAATCTATTTCCTGTTCCCTCTTGCTTATCTGTAGTTTCTATTTTTCTATGATGAGTAAGTATTATTTGCATAACCAAAAAGATGAAAGCTGAAAAATATATATTAGGTCCTTCCCCAAACGCTTCTTGCTTCAAGCCTTTGTAAGGAAATCCACAAAGAACAGTCTCCACTAACCCCACCCCACCCCTGGGGAAAAGCGGAGCCCCGATCAAGACAGAGTGGATTCCAGGGAGGAAGCTCCCAGCCAGGGAGCCCATGCAAGGCTGAGCCCATCCCCAGCTCTAAGGGCAGGGCCAGATGGACCTAGGCCATTAACATAATCCCAACCTGTGCCCAGCCCAGACCATCAATGCAAATCCTCCCCCTCATTGGTTCCATGGTGAGCACGGGACCCAGACTCTTCCAACTGGAGGGAGTCTCAGATGTTTCTTTGTACGATGAGAAAACAGGATACTCTCATCGCACACAGACCTTCCAGCTTCTAGCCTGGGGAGCTGTCAGCAGCTATTAAGCTGTCCCAAAGGGAGAGAGAGAGCTGGGGCACGTGGCGAGGGGAGACAGCAGATCAAACTGAAGCAGGCATGACAGCACCTCAGCACTTCTCAGCTACGTGGGCCAAAATAAAGCCATTTGAATTGGGTTTTCAGTCATTCGCAACAAAAGCATCAGAATCATTCCGTAGGCTTAAGTCACTATAGGATTCCACATGAACAGAGACCGTTAGCATTTACATGGTCATCTCCACCACCATCATCGTCACCACTGCTGTTGTCTGAATGTTTGTGTCCTCCCAAAGTTCCTGTGTTGAAATTCTAATCCACAGGGTGACGGTATTAGGAGGCAGGCATTTGGGAGGTGACTAGATCATGAGGCCACACCCTGGCTGTAAACTCAATGGTTCTATCCTGTTGGCAGCCACTCAATGCACCTCCTTGGAATCCCGTGGGTTCCGTGGAACACCATTTGAAAACCCTGACCCCTGCTGAACCTCAGTCTTCTAGTCCAGAACCTGCCAGGGTGGGCCTAAGTCAGGGTTTTCAGCCAGAGGTGTCAGCCATCCCAAGCTGGCAGGTTCTGGACTAGAAGACTGAGGTTCAGCGAGGGAAGGGAGGTGTTCAGGGTCCCACAGTGAATCAGTGGAGAAGTCATTTTCAAAACAGATCTGATGCCCCCCTCCCTCTGCACACTCGCCACCCCTGGCCTTCGAGCCTGCAGTGCCCTCTCCTGGGACATGGGCTTGCAAAGGAGGAGAATGGGGGACCACGCTGGTCACGTGGGGTCAAAGGTCCTCTCACTGTTTCAGATACCAGCTGCTATGTTTGAAGGTGTCCCCCAAAGTTCATGCATTAGAGACTTAATCGCCAACGCAACAGTGATGAGTGGCAGGACCTTGAAAAGGTGATTAGGTCATGAGAGCTCTGCCCTCATAAATGGATTAATGCTGCAGCATGGGAGCGGGCTTGTTGTGGTGGGAGTGGGTTCCTGATAAAAGGATGAGTTCAGCCCCCTTCCACTTGCTCTCTCTAGCACCCTCCTGCCCTTGCACCTCCACCGCGGGATGATGTGGCAAGAAGGTCCTTGACAGAGGCTGGCACCTTGACATTAGACTTCCCAGCCTCCAGAACGGTGAGAAATGAGTTCTTTTCTTTATAAACTACCCAGCCTGTGGTATTCTGTTATAGCAACACAAAACAGACCCAAGAGAAGGGCAAATAAATGTTTGATAAATGGTGGTGAGTGAGAGAGGACTGAACTAATGAATAATTAACAGGATGCTCAACAGGAATTTACCTGTTGCCTTGGGATTGCAGCCAAAACTTCAAAGCTGAAACTGACCCCTCTCATCCAAAAGAGAGACCCCAGGTACTCTTTGGGAGACCTGACTAAAGTGGGCAGAACACACCAAGCCACCATCTCCCCAAGTCTCTACCAGCCTAAGCTCTTGGCCCCAAGGAACGGAGCTGTGGCTCCCGCCTGGTTCTTGGGGGAGGGCAGGCAAGGGGATTCCCCACACCAGCTATGAGGGGGCTCCAGGAGAGCCCCTTGTACAGATGGGGGACCAGGGCGTGTGAGAGGAAAGAGAGAGTATGAGGGGTGGGGACCGAGGGCTGTCTGCCTGCACCCCCAGGTTTCAGTTTCCCCAAGGGATCCCCACCCACAGGAAGTGCCCCCCAAATGAGGAGGCCAGGTGGCCAGGGCTGGGGAATGGACGCTGGGTGGGCAGCACCAGGGACAGGGGCAGTCCCATCAGGGGGCACCTCCCCCCCAGACATACCCACACAGGCCTGCCCTTGCACGTCTGCAGAAAGCTAAGGGTCCTCTCTGAAGAAAAACGTACCACCCCCCACCCATACATATGATTTTACACCCAGTGTCAAGGAACTCTTGAGTCAGACCTGGGTTAGAACGGACCAGCTCTTACTACGTATATGACCTTGGGTGAGAGACTTAACTTCCCTCTACGCCCCAAGTCTCCTGTCTGTAAAAAGGGGATAATAATACTATCTGCCTCAATAGAGCTGTTGAAAGGATTAAGTCAGTTAATCCACGTAAAGGGCTTAAAATAGTGCCTGGTTCACTGTAAGTACTCGACCCACTGCAGCTGCCACCGTCATCCCCATCACCTCCAACAACACCTTCATCACCTCCACCGTCACCAACACCACCATCACCTCTACCGTCACCAACACCACCATCACCACCATTGTCACCACCATCACCACCATTGTCACCATCATCAGCACAACCACCATCACCACCACCTCCACCACCACCTCCACCATCATCACCATCACCACCACGACTACCTCTGCCACCACCACCATGACCCCCACTATCACTGTGATCATCACGGACCCCTCCTGAGACCCACCCACACACCCTGGATAAAAACCCTTGGCCCAGGGCAGGGTCTTTCAAACTGCATGCTGATGGTTGGCAAGAGTATTAAAGAAAAAAAAAAAGTAGAAAACATCAGAGTGCATCAGAGTAGGAAAGAGATATTTTAGTTAGATATATTTATATTTAAATAGACGCCCACTGCCGTGTGTACTGAGTCACAACGTGAAATGCCCTCCCACCGCGGTTCTCACCAGAGGCCCCCGAGGCTGCTCCAGCTCTAACCTGCTGAGCTCCCGGCTCTGCAGCTTCTGAAGCCTCGGTCCTGGGCACACTCAGAGCCCCCCTGGCTGAGCGGGACAGGTGGGGTGAGCGGGTGGGAGCTGCAGGGAAGGCCGCAGCAGCTGGGAAGCCACCCCTGGTCCTCCCTGGAGCCCCCAGCCCCACCAGCCGACGGGAAAAGGAGCAATGTGTTTCTGGCACTGCCTTCCACACACAGGCTCCATTTTTCAAAAATCTAATCAAATATTTACAAGATGGGACGACACCTCATCAGTACGAAGAGAAGGAGTCTGCTAGTCCCACCTATTCCCACCCCCCCACCCTCTCCCCATGAGCCCCTGCAGGGGACAGTTTTTTGAAAGAGATTCTCAGAAACTTATCAGAGACCCGTGAGCCCCCAGGAGCCAGCCCCTGACAGCCTCTGCCTGTCCCACCTGCCCCTCACCCAGCAGTCAGGAGGCTTCCCCTGGGGGTGACAGTTTCCGGTGTGCTTCTTGGAAGCACATGACCTTGAATCTTGGGAGGATGGAATCCACTCTGCTCTTGAGGAGGAGAGAGGTTACTCTACTTCCCAGGGTCTCACAGCAGGTCCTGGGCAGAGCAGGGAGGAGAATCAGGTCTCAACAGAAAGGCTGGTCTGCAGCTGTTCCTCTTGTCCCTCCTTCCCCACCCCCTCCCCACATCCCATCCCACCTCCACCCCCACTCATGAGAATATCCCCAGGGGCACAGGAGAGCCGGCCTTGCCTGCAGGGTCTGGAGGATGTGAGGGCAGCTGATGCCACAGCATTGGGTCCTGAAGGGTCGGGAGGCTGCCTCGTCCCCTCTAATGGATGGAAAGGGCACTGACGTGGGCATCCCACATCCTGGTTCTGCTTCCAGCTGATCAATTCGCCTTTCCCAGTCTTGGTTTCCTCCATGTAAACTGGGATAATGAGGACTTTGTCCCCCCACTGAGGTCCCCATAAGGGCAAGGGTACATTGTTGTACCCCACTGCCTGGCACAGGGGGTGGGAAGGAGGTAGGGGGAAGGTTTGAGAGGATTCGATTGTGCCAACATGGTAAAAACGCCTTCTGAATACCCAGGAACTCTGTCAACAGGAAGAGGTGATGTTCTCGCTTTTACTAGAATATTGAAGAAGCAGGAAGAGTCAAATCTCACTTGGAAACATCCAGGAGAGACATTTCTCAGGACAGTCTGCTGGCTGGAGAGAGCTGTCCTCAGGCTGGCGGCAGGGCAGGAGGGTCTCGAGGGCAAGCAGGCAGGAGCGGTGGGTGGGCAGGCGGGCAGGGGCCTGACCAGACTCTTCAGGGTGGCCTCACTCCTCCGAGGCTTTGAGTGGCCCACGGGGCCTGGACAACCTACCTCCAGCCCCTCCTAGACAACATCTGTCAAGGTGAGGTTGGCCTTGACCCTCTGCCAGCAAGCTAGTTGGGCAGTGAAATGACCCTCTCCACGTCCAGCGAGACCCAGCATATAGGATTATCACTGTGACCAGCTGTCTGGCTCCCTGGGGGCTACCCGGTGTTTCAGAGGGCCTGTCACCCTAGCAGCCCTGATCCAGCCCATCCCTTCCCAGCCCTCCCCACCATGGTCTGAGACCCTTGAGTGCCCAAGACGTGATGCTGGGCTGCTCCAAGAGCCACGGTGCCAGTTCCAGTGCACCCTGGCACCCGGTCCCAGCCTCAGCACCAGCCCTGGCCTGCCCCACCATCCTGGGCACATCAGAGCCCCCAAGGAGAGCA